ATCATATATAGTTCAGAACGAATGCATATCAGTATCTCAAGAAACACATGGGTATGAGGCATCATCGAGGCATCACATATTTAGAAGCCATCTATATCAAAATATCAGAATCATAGACTCACAGGCATGCCTAATGCATAACAGATTAACAGGTTGTTCATACAAAGGGTTTCACAGGCCGGATCTAGGGTTTAATGCTTCCACCAAACACATTTAATGATAAGACAGGTAATTCATATACAAAAATGATAACACATCACAATTTGGGACCAGGCTTCTACATCAAAGCCAATATTAGAGATCAGAACATGCAATAAATGGTTTATCCAAGCGAACAAAGCATACAATTTCAATATTTAACGATTATACCTCACTATCTCAATAAGAATTAAGATAATCGAACAGGTTGGAAGCTTCCACAAATCCACAAGACAAGACCACAATATCGATCTAGATACTGCTTCGTAACTCTGGTAGGCTATGATCGGCTTCCACCAAGGCAGAGAGGCACAAACGTACAAACTACATGTGGATGGACGAGAGAGAGTAGACATGGATTACCGGAACAACAGATGAGAAGATGGTTTAGAGAGAGGTCGGAGTAGGGGAGAGGGTCAGAGGGAGTTGCCGGTTGCGAGTGAAGAGTGAAGTGGTAGGGTTAGGTTTAGGGTTAAATGTTTAGTATATATACCTAGGGCTTTTCGGGTTTTTCAAGCGGGTCGGGTAGCCAATTTCTAAACCCTACCCGTAACCCATTCCCTTAAATATTGGGCTGGGCATATTCGGTTCGAATTTTCGGGTTCGGGTCAACCGACCCAGGCGGGTAAATGAGGGTAAACCCGATCGGGTTTTCGGGTGGGTTCGGGTTATGCTCACCCCTAGTTGCAGCCCATAAAAATCATTTAAGTAAATAAATACGGATGTGGATTGACCATCCTATACCAAAGTTTTTAGTTTTCTCATTTAAATTATAAATCATATACGGAGTACGTAGTATCTTTTTAATTTCTATGTATTCAATGCATGGTCAATCTTCTTGGTTATTATGTGATTGAGTGGCTTAATTTAGTTATTTATCGGGCATGATTAATTTATGATGAAATTTAACAAAATAAAGTTGTTATTTATTTAGTTAAGTAATTAAAGTAATCATATTTAACAATCTGATTTGATTTTGTTATTAGATTATCTTTACTATTACTCCATAGTCCATCTGTCATGTTAAGATTGTCACATATCAAGTTTGATAAAGTTTGTGTGATTCTAAATCATTTTTTCTTTATCACGGAGTATTACTTTATTAATTCATTATCAATCAAATTTAATTCATTATCAACCGCATAACTCACTTTTCTTAATAACCGCATCACCTCTTCATGTCCCAATGTTGGTGGGACGGAGGTAGTATGTTTTAGTAAATTTTACTATATCATAATTAAATTATGTTTATATCTATTTATGTAGGAAAGGAAGGCCAATTTTTTGTGGTTGCACAGGGCCCTCTTATTTTCAGGACCGACTCTGGTGACAAAGTGTAGCCGCAAATAGAAATTAAAATTTAGATTTTTGTATTTTGTCACGGATGCAATCAACATTAATTTATTTTATCATGAATTGGTTAATCAAATTTTTACTTAATTTGGAACAGTATATGGTTAACAAACTCAAAACAATTGGAGAATTGAAAAAGTGAAAATATATATCTTTATACAATAAACATTAGTTTATTTTCTTAATAAAAAGGAAGAGTGGATAGGAATGACATGATTGACAATTGTTTAAATATATTAATATAAATTAATGTTCTTTTTTACGTAAAATCTTCATTATGCATTTATGAGTACAATCTCAACTTCTCAAGTAACAACTATAGTCTATGCTAATAAAGTTTTTGCCAAACAAAACGATATGTATAGTTTTTGGACTATATTTTCGAACATAATTTTCCATACCACTACAAGAAATCTCGCAATTTAGTGGCGGAATATCCGTCGCTAACTCCGCTACAGAAACTCTTGGTGACGGAAATCACTGACGGATCGTCGCCAGTAAATTCTCGAAGTAATATTGTTTGGTACGGTGGCGGATTTTCAAATCTGTCAGTGATTAGAAGCGGACTTTTGTAAAGGATGGTTCCGCCAACGGTTTTAGTGGCGGAATATCTGTCACTATTGGTCGCCGGTAATTAATTTCTATTTACAAAAAAAATATTCTTCATTTATGAATTGCTCTCAATTCAATTATTATTTATGTATGACTACCAAAAACTGTTCATATTAATTTATCAAATCAAAGCCTGAAAAGATAAATTTGAACCATTAAATATAATTAAAATCAAATATTGCCAAAAAATAATACTCCTTATATTATACTAGCTTAGACTTTACATTAGATTCCAGGTCACTACTAAAATCCCAACTATGCTAAATCCAAAAAAAACATCCAAGTCAATGTTAGTATCTAGTGTTCAATACTAAATCCAAAAAGGCATACATATCACCACATTAATGTGGTTTAAAATGTTTAAGCCATTTCAAAATTAAAGCTATGCATCTAGTTGGATAAAGAGTCTCCATGTGACTGTTGAGAGCCTTGAGAGGATAAATCTTGTTGTGGAAAGAAGTTTGGGGCGTCAATTCCATATGACTTGAAGAACGGAAGCCATGCTTCTTCAAAACTTCTAGGTTGTAATTCAGGATTCTTATTTGTCAAACTTTCATCCACAAGAGGCATAACCGTTGGGGCCTCGTGACCATGCGAAGACAACCATTTTCTCATATGCTCTTCCCAAACAACACAAAAATCATGCAAGCATTTTGATGAAGAACCTTTATGATTTGACTCTAATTGGAGAAGAAACTCTTTGGAATACCTTCCCGTTCCCAAAACTCTTTTCTTGTTGTACCCAACCACATCAAAATACTTGAAATGCAATTCAAAAATTACTGATTTTGCTGCCGCAGAAATTTCAGCTTCTTGTGATTGATGTTCACTTTCAGCTTCATGGAATGTAGTAGACAGCTTGCTAATAACCTCTTGTGCAAACAAAATGATGCAAGTCACTCAAACATTTAATACTCTCTAATAAAAAACATTAGGTAGAATGCATGGTCTGTTCCACTACCTATTAAGCTCATGAATCATCAACATCAAAATCAGAAAAAAGAACTGAAATCATACACTACAGAATTAAAAAGAGAACATTGCCGGTATTTTTTTACAATAACGACACAACTCACAATTGCTCAAAAAATCTCAATAGGATGTTTACAGATTTAATACTATAAACTACGTGTAAAGTGGTGACCTAATACAATCTTGAGCTCAAATCTTACATAAATAAAGTTACCAATTAGAGTAATTATCCAAAAGAATTTGATAAGTGTTAAAAATAACCAAACACATCCTCCACTCTCAAATCTTACATATTGAAAGACCCAATGTCGGTGTAAATGACGCATGAAAGTAAGTGTAATATTAACTATTATTTATGTGTATACATTATTCTTTAATGTTACTATACAACTACTAATAAATAATGTATACTTTATATGCAGCCTAATCAACATATCTGTTACCAAAGCAAGTCTTTTGAGTGGAGGATGTGTTTGGTTATTCAGAAAAGGGTGTAGAATGTGTTTGGTTATTTTTAACACTTATCAAATTCTTTTGGATAATTACTCTATTTGGTAACTTTATTTATGTAAGAGTTGAGCTCAAGATTGTATTAGGTCACCACATAATCAAAAAAGTCTAACCACATAATGTTGCAGTTTTGATTCGGATCGACAAATGCCAACTGCCGAGTCACCGACTCGCCGGCGCAGACCGCGTTACGCCTCTATCACCTACTTCCGACGCTTGGCCACCCTGCGCCCCTGCCCCTCCTCACTTCCTCTGCCTTCTGGTGCGCCGTGCTCACTGCTTCAGGCTTCACGCCTTCACCCAGGGCCGGTCCTGTCCATTTCTGGGCCTATGGACGGTACACTATTTTGGGCCTATATCCATGACAAACAGTACACTATATTCGGGTAATTAAGGATGTTTTTACTTGAACTATAATTTGCTGGTCTGGTCTGTACTGGTCTGGTCTGGTTTCTTTGTATTTTTATAACTATCCAAGTCTGGTCTGGTTTGGTCTGGGACGAATTACAGTCCAAGTAAAAACATCTTAAGTTTATAAAATAAAGACAAGAATCACTTTATTATTATATAAGTTACACTTTTGGGCCAAAGTAACAACACGAGTATCAAATAAAAAGAAAAAACATTTATTTAAAAATGTTTCTCGTAGACAAATGTGAAGCAAATCATTAATAATTGCTTCATAAGCAATCTTTTTTCCACTAATAACTATGACAAACAATAAAATTGCCACATATAACAACAATAAACTTTCTTTTGAAATGATAAATGAAAAGAAATATTACCACATATTGAATTCATAAATTGAGAATGATTTATTTACCGCTAATGAGAGTCTAAAGTTTGAAGTCTCGAAAGAATGAAGGTTTTCAAAGAGACAAAATGTTTGGCTGCCAAGAGGACTCGTGCAAGAAGATTGCAAATTTGACGTCCTCTAAAACTACTATTAGGAACTCAGATATAGCTTATTGAAATTTGGAAACAAACGAATAATTGGGATGAAATTTGAGAGAAACGGGCTCTAAGCAAAAATGATTATATAAATTTGTTATGTTATAATTAAATTGAATAAAAAACCTTAAAAGCTAAAAAGATGTGAGGACTACACATGTCTTTTATTTATGCAACAACAATTGTATTGTTTTTCAAAACTACAGCTGATCCTGCTAAAAATTAATGTATATATTCTGTTTTAAACTTGTTTCTGTTTAAGACTCTTTATTTATTTTTAAATTTTCAAATTATCAACAAAATGAATCATTAGGCCTAATTAATTGAACTTAAGATAAAAAAAGAAGCCTACTCAAACTCTATATAAAGAAAAAAATTGAGGCCTATTTTTTCTTCTATTTTTTTGGGCCTAGGGCAGTCGCCCCTCTTGCCCCCCTCAAAACCGGCCCTGCCTTCACCGGAATCACCGCTTCTGGGCCTCAGCAGCTCAGCCTTCAGACTCTCTTGTCCCATCACTCATGAAAAAGATTATTCGAGTCATCAAGGAGAATATGCTGAAGCTTGTGTCTCATGAGTCGTATACACGTGCAAGGAGCACAATTAGGCCTTTTTTGAATGCACAAATAAGTGCTTCTGTTCACAGTGGTCAGACCCGTTGCTCGCCTAGAAGCTTTTTCGGGGTGGAGGATTTTGTAGATGATGACAATAGCTGGCCATACACGTACCAGAAGAGAAAAAATTCAAAGAACCCAGGCAAGCATATTTCTTTCAAACAAAGGGCATGTGCTTTCATGGAACCATTCACGCTTGATGTCTTCATCTCGAAGCGTTTTGTTTCGGCCTCAATCACACACAGTCACTTGCAAGCAGGTCACGGTCGCAGGTACAAATTCAAAGGATATAAAAGCAATGCTGAAATCAAGGAGCGACATACCCGCGTGTTTGTCCGTTGGTTGGATTTTGGCTGACAGGGCAAGAGAAGCTGATGTGTATATCACTGCTCACAATCTCCGTGATAGTGACAAATTTCATTCAAATACTGTTTTTAATGTTCAGAAGAATAAAAAAACATCTACCTGCAATTCTGCAGATTTTTATGCATCTTTTGGCTGCAATTTTGCTGTTTTTAGTTACCACTTTATGTTCTTTACGATTCATATCAGCACATTAATTTCATCACACTACTATGAAACATGAAAGAACACACTTTGACATTTAATCAAAAGTCACACCATTTCAGTTTCAAAATACGTATTCAAGTGTGTGTGTAAATTACAACAACACTTCGACCAATGCATTACATTGATAAGATGAGTTCGACAAACAAGATTATCTCATTCATTTCATTAGATTTCAAAATATGAGATTAAACTAGAATATGATTCATTTTATCACAATACAAATCTAAAACTCAACCAATGAAATTTGTTGCCTTTTTTTCTTTTCTTATCTTTATTTGTTAAAAAAAATTGTGAACTATGTTTTTGAACCAAGGAACAATATAATGTGAACCATACTATGTACTATCCTCCGTTCCATAAAAGTTGCAACAATTTGACTTTCACGTTTGCCAACGCGCAACTTTGACTGTAATTATATTTATTTACGTATTAGTAAACATTAAAAAAAGTTAATATATTGGAAATTTACACTACTACAAATTTATTAATATTTTATACATAATATTTTTATTATATATATTATTAGAAAATCGTAGTCAAAGTAAGGTGTGTGAATAGTGAATAAATTCCAATGTTGCAACTTTTACGGAACGGAGGAAGTATTAAATAATAAAGTGGTCCCATTTTTTATAACTATGTTTGCACTCATTTAGTGATTTAGCTTGAAGCTAAAAGTACTGAAGAAAGATAAATAACCTTTTCAAAGCAAATGAAGGTGGGAAAAGGAATGAAGGAATCACATAAGATAAACATGCATACGATCCAGCATTCGACAAAGATGTATTACAATTTGACAGTATTTGCGAGATACAATATAGTATTACAACAATTCCAAGAACACAACATCAAAAGAACTACATCAAAATTGTCTCCGTTTAAGAACCAATTCAAGCTTCATCGAATCGTTGGAAGTTGTTCACGTCTACAAATCTGGATAAAACAAAAGAAACGCACCTTTGTTAACACACACTAATAGAGTCAGAATAATAACTTATAAAGCAAGAGTCTTAACTTGTAGTCTAAAAACATTAAATCATGCATGCTCACCTCAAGATCCATAGTGTCTTAATTGCTCTAGCTACATTGTCAATTTTCTTTTAAATCTTCTATAATGAGTATTAAAAAACAATTAAACACAGTTTTATCACTAACAGTAATAGAATCCTAACTTCCATAACTAAATTCAAAACTTATAATTTACATTGGCTGAAAGCATCAAGAGTAGAACAAATTATTGAAAGACAAAAATAAACTCCCAACAACGTACTATCACTACTATTAAGACTAAAACAAATTTATTCCATGTGTATAAAATAAGTCAAATGATTTTTATAAAATACTAATGAGATGCTACTTTTTCACAACTTTTATTTGATAAAGCTGAACTTCTAAATGTAAATCAAGAACTATAATTTAGTGCAGTAAGAACATTTATTTAAAGACAAAAAGTGGTTTCTAATGACTAAAGAGCCAGAATATATATTTTGTTTAGACACACTAAAAGAGTCAGAATCGTACTCCGTAACTAATATAAATAAAATTATCACCTGTAGTCTGAAACATTAACCCAGATTCAAAACTTCAAATCTAAGACGGGGAAAAAAGTTATCTGCAATACCATAAACATCAACACAGAAGCATGTTGATCACCTAATGTTTCTTTGACCACATCATCACAAAAAGTAAACTTTTTTGGTTTTACAACCACACTAATAGAGCCTGATCCATAACTTCTAATAAGAAATTCACAACCCTTAATCCAATAACTTCAAAATCAATCTACCATGTGTTATGGCATCTCAATGGTAACTAAATGATATAATTTAACCGTTAAACTAAAATGTTTCTTAACAGTCACTAAGTAACCATGATGCTTCTTTTTTCCTCACTTCTAAAAAATAAAGCTTAACTTCTAAATCTAAATCAATGACTATTATTCTGAAATTCATTACGACTAAGCAATGATAAAGTGAATGTTTTCATGTTACAATTCATATGATTGAGACTCGAGCTGTATAAATACATATCAAACTTTTAGTTTAGTTACAAGTCTAACAAGTTATTAAACATTAATTACATACAAAAATGCATGATTATATTAGACTTGTAGTTATTAAACATTAGTTACATACAAAAACGGGGGCTAGCACCTGAAGATATAGCAAAGATTGCCATGGAAGATCTTATCAAGTGTTTTACCTTCCAATTAGGAAGCTTCAAAAAGCCTGAAAATTGGGCTTACAGTACTCAAGTAGAAGTGAAGAGAAAAAAATGTAGGAGCCACACTTATAGATCCATAATCATTACTTCACTACTATAAGCCCCCGTTTACTGTTACAATTTCTCATTCTTGATCATGTTCAATTTCTTTTTCATTTACTGGATCATGTTTGTCATTGTGTTGAATGATTAAAAAGAAAAGACATTATACCAAAACACTAATAGAGCTAGCACCGTAACTTCTAACCAGAAATCCCTAACTTGTAAAATATATATGCAGCGACTTTTCAAATAGAGTTGTTTTAATACCACAAGAGAGTCATATTTCATTTTTCGTTTACTTTTTAGTTCATACAAATACAATGTATACTTTTATAATATTAAGTTTGATCAATATGAAAACACCTCTTATGATGCTTGACGTGAGAACGTGAGAACACTCACATTTAAATCAATGTGGTGCACAATGGAGTTATTCTGTTGCACATTTTCATTTGCTCGAATTAAGCCTATATCATATAAACACGGTGGCATTTTGGTAATTATTGTGAAAATGTGAAATTGTGCAATATACAAGCTTCATTGTGCAACATGACGTGCACTTTGTCACGGTGCGTCAAAATAAATTCAATACTAGCACTAATACGTAGTATAGGTGAAGTAGAGTTCGTATCCACAAGGAAACAAATAATTCTCTTTTTATGAAACTAGTAAATAAAAGGGGGTTTTTGGGATTGAATGATTTAATTTAAAAACTAAGATGAACAACCTATATGTGTTTTAATTCAAGGATAAAAGAACTTGGCATTGCTACTTTCCACTTGTTGATATATTTTAGTCGATCATTGTTATATCTATAACTTATTCCCTCTCGAATACTCAATCGAGGAGTATATCCAATTCATCGAAGGTAGTTATTAACAACGACCGTTCATTAATAACCCTTACTATTAGTCAAGTATAGAACACCGCCATATAACGACTTGATAGTAGCATTTAATCTCTTAACTCCTTGATAAAATCAATTGAGATTGATAACCTCAACACAATGGTTTCGGTTTAACCAACAAAATTAATCCCTCTTAAGTTTATTAACCACGACCGTGCATTAATAAACCGAAGTTACTTACTTGTGAAACCATCAACGATTAACCATCGGTTCGTTGATCGTTTCTAGTAATAATTAATATATGAAACAAAACTAGTTGATCCTTTAAGTAATGTTCAAAATATTAATATGAAATATGAATAGCAATTAATTAATATTCAAGGAAGAATATTATTAAAGGAGACGACTCCTACTATAATTAATATGAAGATGTTAACTAATTGTCATCTTAGCAACACTCCCCAACATTAATATAGAGGAAGATAATACTACTCTAACTAATGTCAAGATGTTAACTAATTGTGATCTTAGAACACTCCCCAACATAAATATAGAGATAATATTAAGAACTAATAATTAATATTCAAGGGAAGAAGTTTAAGAAAAATAACTCACAACTTTAATGATCAACAAGCTTCAAGAGCAACACCAAGAATTGGATGTTTAGCTCCTCATTTGGAGACTAAACATAGCTAGAAAAATATAAAGAAATGCTATTCTAAACTGAGCTTAAGAGTATGGAAGAAGGAATGATTATTTGTGAAGAAAAAGTGTGCTATTTATAGGTGTTTTTCAACACCTTTGGCCGGGTACCCGACCGGGTATTGTACTTATCCGACCGGGTACCGGTCAAAATCGAATCGATTTGCCATGTTCTCTTGTTCTCTGCACGTTCTTTGGTCCGGGTCAAGTCTGACCCGACCGGGTGGCTTAGTTGACCCGACCGGGTCCGGTAAAAATAAGATATTCTCCACGTTCTGGTGATCTTCGACATGTTCTGGTGTTCCGGGTCAAGTCTGACCCGACCGGGTTGCTTAGTTGACCCAACCGGGTCCAGCTATTTCCTTGGTTGTTCGGTTTTCAAATCAGACCCGACCGGCTTCAGGGTCTGACCCGGCCGGGTTTAGTGCTCCTGGGTATTTTTGTCTTCAGCTTTTTCTCTTTTTCCTTGCTAAAAACTCTACCACTATTCTACAAATATAAATGGAAGCTAAAAACAATTACAAACAAAATAAAACAAATGCTACAAACTAACTAATAACGATAGAAAATCCATACAAAATCAATATAAAAACATACATTTATGCACTATAAACTAGTGCATATCAAATATCCCCACGCTTGAATCTTTACTCGTCTCGAGTAAATGCAATCCAAGAAATCCTAAAATGATAAGTTCATCAACACAACCATCACAAAGTGTTTTTAGAAACAAAATAATCACAAAGTATCCCCAACATAAATAGAATACATCAAGGTATCTTCAATTCCAATTTCTTCATGCAATGAACTCTCTTTAGTCATCACCCTTAGGATCCTGCAAAATCAAAAAGAAATGTTTTCTCTCATTCTCTCATTTTGCCTAGGTGCCCTTTCGGGTTTTCAACACAGCTTCCTACATTTTTCTTCAATAAATCTCACAAACTCACTCTTATTTTTGCTTTATTTTTGCTTAAGCTGCCCTTTGTGGATTTTCAACTTAACAAGATGTTTTTATTTTTTTTTTATTTTTTTTGAAAATAGAAACAAAAATCAAGAGTATGAATGTGAGCATACCGGAAAGATCCCCCCTACCGCTAGCCTATGGCACAGTCCCTAGTGCCCGCCTGCATCTCCGCCATAAAAAAATCCTCAATAGCCATGGTAGCCCCTAAAGTGTGTATCCTCATCCATGTGATCACCGCCGTGTCCGTCATCCCCGCCTCCACCACTAGAGCTCGAACCGCCAAACTAACCCCATTCAGTGAGGTTATACCATGAGGGTGTCGGAGGAGGAGTGGTCATCGATGAAAAGCCACCCTAATGTATGTGCTACATAGGAGTAGATAGGGCCAAAAGTCCTCCTATGGTCCTCCTGATCTCTCCGCCGATCTTCTTCGTATCTCCGCCAGTCCCCTTGCCTTTTCTCCTCTATCCTCTCATAGTCCTGCCTTTGCTCTGTTCTATACAACACAACTTCATCCCGAAGTTGAGTGTAGTTGAGGTTTAAAGCATTCATGCTATTTAGCATTTGTTGCTCAAATGGTGAATATTGGTGAGCAAAGGGTTGTGGTTGAGGTTGTTCAGGAATGAGGGGTGGTGGTTCAACTGCAGGTTGTTCTTGTGGGGGTTGTTCTTGTTGGTAATGGAGCGGTGTTCTCTCGGGTAGACAATAGTGGTGCCCATCACCAATTTGGTGATCCAAAAGGTCCAAAGGGAGGTCGGTTGAGGGTATTTGTGCATAAATGGCATTAGGTGGATCGATTAACCAATTGTAGATATCTACCCCATCGGGTGTTTTATGAGAGAAAACAATATCTTTGGTATTTTTCAGGAGCCATGATGTGCAAACTAGCTGTGCTGAGGTAATGGGGCCTGGGTCTACACAGCCATAGAGTGTGGCTAAATGTGTAATCAAGCCCCCTACCCTAATGGTTCCTGTGGAAGTTGCCACTGTGTTGAATTGATCCCATAGAATTGAGGCAACATCCACTTGATCCGGACCTGGTAAAACATCTTGTCCAAGAATACAAACATCACATACCCTTGTGTGATGGTTATTCAGTCTTCCGAGAAAACAGTTTGATAAGAATTTTAAGAAAATTCGGAGGACCAGATGTTTTACACGATTCACACTAAGGTGTCTAAGCTCGACATCCACCTTCCCTGTCATCCTTTGCCACAATTACACACCCACAAAAGTGTCATGTTCACGTTCTTCATTGAACAAGGGGAGGCCAAAGTGTTGGGCAAACTCCCGCTTGGTCAATGAACGGTTCTCATTCAACAAATGAAATGTGATTCTACTTTCAGCATGATCATCAACATTTGCTATTTGCTTAAATGAACTAAAAAATTCATACACCAAATGTGGGTAGGTAAGATATTGCATCTCAAATATCCTAATCATTCCAATGTTTGTGAAAATTTCACGCATAATCACATCAAGCATGAATGACACTAGCGTAGTAATGCATATGAAACGAGATTGTTTTACCTCCCGTTTGGTTTGCTCTATGAAGCGCTTTTTGTGGACCCCGATGTCAAATTGCACACTCTCAAAACCGGGAACAGGTGCAATAGCTTGGTCACCCCTTGAAGAATATGCTTTGGATTTTTTAGGAGCCATGAAAGTGGATTTTGTTTTTTGGGAATTTTTCTAGGTATTTTCGGACTTGGGTAGGGTGGGGTTTGGAACTTTGGATTTTTGGTGGTTTTTGGGTATTTTGGGGGTGTGAGAATGAAGAGTATGATTATTAGGAGAAGAAATTGGGATTTGTTGGGGATTTGGGGGGGAGGGGGAATTCGGACCTTTGATTTCCAAAAATGGGGGGTTCGAATTTGGTTAGGGTTTGAATGGTTTGGTTGATTTGGGGGGATTTGGAGGAATTTATGGGTATAGAAATGAAGAGGGAGGTGAGGAGATGAAGAAAATGGGGTTGTTTAGTGGATTTGGTTAAGGGAAGAGGAAGATTCGAAGGTTTGGCTAGTTGAAAATGGGGGATTTTGGGGGTTTTGTGCGTAGGGAGGAAGATGAAGTGGGAGGGGGAGAGGTCGCCCGACCTGGTTATTGTGTTTTTTTCACGTTCGCCCGGCCAGGTGGAAATATGTACCCGGTCAGGCTTTATTGCTTTTCGGATTCCAGTGAATGCTGGAAAGCGTACCCAGCCGGGTGGTTTGTGGTACCCGGTCAGGTTTTGTGAATTTTTGAAGGCAGAACCCACTGGAACGTCAACCCGGCAAGGTAGAATAGGTGGCCCGGTCAGGTATATCTGATTTTTTATTTTATTTTTTATCCGGTCGGGTATATGGGTTGACCTGGTCAGAATTTCAAAGCAGTGGCCTCGGGGTGGATTTTTCTCAATTACCCGGCCGGGTCTTTGGGTCTACCCGGTCGGGTGTGGCATGATTTTCAAAACGTTGCTTCCCTTGCCCGAGCGATGGGGCGGGTTTTAGTGTTTTTCCATACACCCGACCGGGTGAAGTGTGGTACCCGGCCGGGTAAGTGCCCCAGGCTCATTTTTAAAAAAAAATTAACACACACAACTGAAAATAAATGAAATAGAAATAAAAACTTGGGTTGCCTCCCAAGAAGTGCTTGATTTAATGTCGCGGCACGACATCATTTTTATTTTATTTTCTGTTTTAAGTGGGATCGTGAACGTCACTTGTTTCATTTTTCTTTCTCGACCTTTTCCAGTAAGGCCGAGATTTCTTTCTTGTTACCACCTCAATCGTAGGTGGTTTTATCTCATTGTGTGGCGATTTCATCCATTCACCATTTTTCAAAACTGATTTTTGTTCAATTTTCACGTCTTCAAACATTTTGGTTTCCTCACCTTTATTTTCAACAAAGACATGTGATGCTCGTGGTTCAAAAACATTTAAAGAACAAAGAGATTGATCTTTAATTTGTTTTTTCATAGAATCAAAGATATTAAATTCTACTTTTTGGTCATCGAACTCTAATGTTAATGAACCATTCGACACGTCTATTTTTGTTTTGGCGGTTTTCAGAAAAGGTCTACCCAAAAGGATGGGTGTTGTTTGGTTGTCATCTCCCATTTCAAGTACATAGAAGTCAACAGGGAAAACCAAGTTTTCTACTTCGACTAGCACATCTTCATTACACCTTTCGTGTAAGTATTAGACCGATCCGCTAGTTGAATCACTACACCAGTTTGATGTAGCGGGCCGAGTTGTAAGGATTTATACAAGGAGTAAAGAATAACGTTTATTGATGCTCCTAAATCCAACAAGGCTTTAGAAAAATTGGTGTCCCCTATTTTGCAAGGAATGGTGAACATGCCCGGGTCGCTACATTTTTTGGGAAGTTTCTTTTGAAAAATGGCCGAGACACGTTCACTAACCTCAACCTTTTGTTTCCCTTTCAGTTTATTTTTCCTTTTCATTGTGCATAGTTCCTTTAAGAACTTTTCATAACGGGGAACACTTTTGATTAGTTTGAAGAGTGGGATGTTTACCTCAGAATCAGCGAAGGTCTCGTAGATGTCCCGATCATTCTTCAGCTTCCTTGTGTCTTTCAATGCCTCAGGGAATGGAGGGAGTGGTTCATATGATAAAAGTGGAGGCAATTTAGTTTTCGTTGGTTCCTCCTCTTCCGATTGAAAGCCTTATCCAAGATCAACCTCTTTCTCCTCCTCCTCCTCAACTTCCCGCGCTTGCAATTCTTTACCGCTCCTCAACATGATTGCATTGACATGTTGTCTTGGCTTTTGCTCAGTCTGGGAAGGGAGCCTACCCGAATCTTTTGCCTCGAGTCGACTTACGACACTCAAAATTTGGCTAACTTGAGTTTCCAAATTTTGAATGCTCGACTTGGTTTCATGTTGGAATTGCATCATGGTTTGTTGGAATTGCCTCATGTTTTGCTGCATTGTTCCCATATTAACGGCAAGTGCTCGAATTATGTCTTCGGTGGACATACTCGGGTTCGATGTTTGGCCTTGTTGTTTATATTGTTGAGGAGGAGGGTTTGTTTGTTGAGGTTGTTGAGAATTTCCGTACCTTAAATTTGGATGATCCCTCCAGCCCGAGTTGTAAGTATTGCCTTGAGGATCGTACCTCCTTTGACCTTGGAACCCCAAAGCATTGACTTGCTTGGAGATCTCTTCTTGTAGCATTGGGCAAGAATTAGTGGGGTGCCCCTGTGTTGAACATATGCCGCAGACCTTGACTTCTTGAGGTTTTGGATTCAAAAGGAAGTCTTTTACCAAAGAAGTCAAGCCGGCCACTTGACTTTCCAACAAGTTGTTGGATTCCGCTGCCATGACTCGTTTTGTCTACAATTCTCGGCCAACTCCGAGATAAGATTCCTAGCTTGAGAAGGAGTTTTGTTGACGATTCCTCTTCCACATGCGGCATTAATCATTCGTCTATCATCATCACAAAGACCATCATAAAAGTAAAGGATGAGGTCTTGCTCCGAATAGCCGTGATACGGACAGCTTGCACAAAGTTTCTTGAATCGTTCCCAGAATTCATAGAACGGTTCATCATCTTTTTCTCCACATTGCTGATTTGTTTCTTTAGAGATGAGGAGATTGAGGCAGGATAATACCTTTCAAGGAAGCACTTCTTCATGGCCGCCCAAGTATCTATGCTTCCTGAGGGAAGATAGAATAGCCAATCTTTGGCGGTGTCTTTGAGGGAGAATGGAAAATCCCTCAACTTGATTTGTTCCTCAGTGACACTGTTTGGGTACATGCTTGTGCAAACGATGTGGAACTTCGAGAGGTGTTTATTTAGATCCTCTCCTCTCAGCCCGTGGAAAGATGGGAGTAGATGTATGATCCCGGATTTCAACTCAAATGTAGCACCCGCATCAAGAGTTGGGAAGGTGATGCATAAAGGTCGTTGATTAAGATTCGGAGCCGTGAGCTCCCTCAATGTTCTTGTTTCAAAAGCCATAGTGATTGGCTCTTCGGTGTCGCTATAATGAGAACTAGCACTTGAGGATTCTCCAGAGTCGGTATTTGAGAATTAGTTTTTCAACCGCTCGAGAGCTTGTTCTATTTCAGGGTTTGTTTGGTAGATGAGTTGGTTTATGATCGGGTTCTTACCATATACTTAAACAAAGCTCAATGATTTGGTTTATGATCGGATTTTAACCCACCGATGGCCCCTTTACTGTCCAATGATGATATCATATCTTAGGACAATCAAACTAATTTTTATTCTTTTTCAGGTTCAATAGCTATTGGCCCTGAGGGGATATATAACCACCTAGATGGGTTCACGTAGGTCATAAACAGAAGAGGCAAACATAAAGGGGAGTTCTCCTAACATTGCTTTAACATTGATTTAATAAATAGAAAATGATTAAGCTAGAGAATAATTTATTAATTTGAACTCAAGCAATGTAAATGCTATCAGATATGCTAGAGGAGAGTTCTCCTAAGTGTCTTGAACAAGTAAGTTATGGGTTTTCCTCTGTGTTGCTTCCCAGCAAATCAAAAGCCTATGATTAGGTAAGTTATAAGTTTGACACATTAGTAGAAAACTTTGTTTCTTATTGACCTCAATACATCTGTATAGGAAACAATGCGGACTTTCAGTAAGTTGTGTTTTTAAAGA